GGGCCCCTACATGGGACAGTGAACCACACCCAGCAGGTATACTGGTCACATTGGCTACGTCTATACTGTGGGTTTTTTGCGGATGAGGAAATGCAAATGAAGTGCTCATTTGAATATTTTGTGCTCTCATTTGCATATCTTCTTCCAATCCTTTTTGCGGAAGAGGTTTTTGCAATAAAAAGCCCTGTGTAGACGGGGCCATTTGTCAGAAAAAAACCCTTTTGCACAGGAACCTGTAAACCTCATTTTTTGAGGAATAAGGGATCTTGCACAAAAGGTTTTTTTTCTGACAAATAGCCCCATTTACACAGGGCTTTTTAGCTCAAAAACCTCTTCTGCAAAAAGGATCAGAAGAAGATATGTAAATGAGAGCGTGAAATATGCAAATGAATGCTCCATTTGCATTTCCTCGTCTGCAAAAAACCCGCAGTGTAGACGTAGCCATTAACTGCAGGTAAAAGAAACAAACGCAGTGTCAAGGCATGTATCATTGCTCGCACAGAGTGAAGGACACACATGGAAATAGACGAGGTCAGAGAGATGGAGAGGAGTTGTACACTACAGATCTTTGTAGATTCAATGGAAACTTTACAAGTTTGGCTACAGACACATGAGAAGTCAGTCTTCTGAAGTCTATGGATTTACACCCGTTCACACCAACAGAGGATCTAGCCAAAAATGTAAAATCTCTTTTCTAGGCTGCTTCTTCATGATGGAGAATATGAAGCTTACATGAAATAAAGTATTGTCCACCTTTGAGAAAATACATTGAATGGGATCTAGACAGAGTCATTTCATGAGTTTATAATACTACCGTACTGAACTCCATTTCTATATACTAAGGCCCACAGATTGATATTATTGATGCCTCTGCAAGACACGTTTTCCCATGAGATCAAGTGAATCCTAAATGCCCTAAAAATCCATTTCCCCCTTAAGGAGTAGTGGAGAATAAGTCTTTGTCTATAGTACACCATGAGACCAGTTTGGTCTTCTCCCAAAGATTAAATCAAATCCTAAGAGTATGTCTACACTGCAATCAGTGGCAGAAGGTTTCTATAATTTCTGGTGGTGCCTAGAATGGGTCCAAATCCTGTGTGTGCACTCGTGTGTACGTACTCACACACATACACTCCCCACCTGCCTTGTAAGCTGGTATATATTTGTAAGCAGGCTCTAGGATGGGGACAAGGTGTTTGGAGTGTTATAGGGGCTCAGGACTGGGGCAGAAGGTTGAGGTATGGGGGGAGGGTTTGGGGATGGTGATGAGGGGTTTGGAGTGTTGAAGGTGCTCAGGCCTGGGGCAGAAGGTTAGGATGTAGGGGTGTGGGCTCTGGGATGGACAAGATGGGTTTGTGGGGGTGGAAGGGACTCAGGGCTAAAGCAGAAGGTGGAGGTGAAGGTTTTAGGGCCCTGCACAGGTGGGGCTGGAGATGAGAATTTTAGGATATGGGTGGCTAGGATTCCCACCACTTTCTCTTCCTCCTCTCCCTCTCACAGCCCAGATGGCTCTTATCATGGACAGGCTATGGCTCCAAGACCTTCCCTCCAAGTGGAGTGAGATCAGGGTAAGAGCTGCATGGACAGCCATGGGGAACCACGGACCATCCACATGCCCCATGTAGGTGCCTAGGATTCCTTGCCCTCTCTGTCTTCTGGCTTGGACAGGACCACATGAGCAAGAAGATAGGCAGGGACAGGGACACGATGGGGTTGGGGTTCCCCACACTTTTGGGGAGTCTCCACCACCCTTGCCCCTGGGTTAGCATGATTTGTTTTCCAATGGAAGGAGGGGTTATGTCTGAGCTGGAGTTCCAACCATGGGCTTACATTGCCATTGTCCCATGAGATATACAACGCACCTCCAATAATGCAAGTCATTCTAAGTTAACCGCAGTGACTGTAGGCTGAATTTAATAATAATGATAGTCATAACAGGGGAAAGGACAAGAAATGACTCTTTTAAAAATGGTGCAATGCAAGTAATTGAAGAAGGAGTGAAATTACATAAATAGAAGCCAAGAATAATTGAAGGATTTGATTCAAGAGGTACAAGGACATAATAAGAATTTATCAAGCGTTCCTATTTTATTTGGCTATGATACAAAATACTTAGTTAAGTGTTTGTAAATACAAGGTTGGATAAAAAAAATGTCTATGGAAGAAAACTGATTCCTCCAACCCCTCTGAAAATATGCACATTTCCCAATTTCATACCTGGGTAACAAACAAAAACCAAAACACAGCAGACGTGTTTGATACAGATATTATTTTAACTCCCAAGAAAAGTAACTCAAATAAATAGATTTGAAAGATTGTTTCCATAAACTGGTGTCTCATTCCATGAGTCTCTAAGATTTCAAATTACAACGAGCAGGCAAAGTGGAATATATCCTGTTTCTCGTTAAGGAGAAAAAATTGGTTGAGAAGACAACTTATTTTAAAAGGGCAAAATATAAGTTCAGAGCAGGTTATTACAGAACTGAACATAATTTAAAAGGATAAAATGAGCCATTTACAGAATCCCTTTTTGGCAAATGTGCACTAGAGAGTGGTTAACTTGATTCCTGTGATCATTTAGGCTTGAAGAATCTTGACACCAATACAGTAAGTGCTTGGTTTCATGGTTCACTTGTTAATATTCTTATCACTGGACCAATAGAATTCTGGGCAGAAGCAGGAGCGTGTGAAAGACGAGCCCCCTTTCTCAGAGGTAAATTTATCCAAATGAATTTCCATCCTGGGGAACCCTCTGCTATCAATGTTTGGTGTACTTTTTTCAGAACAATAACTACTCAGAGGTTTGCCCTCAGCTGTACTTTATATGAATATTTCCATGTTATCTACAGTAACATTCCTAAAGACTAAAGCACTAGACGCAATAAATTAAGGTCCAAAATAATTTAGAAGACACTTGATTCACATGAGCAACATGTAAGTACTATAGAGTTAGACACCGGAGGTAAATATTCATAGCTCTTTATAGGGTTTTAGTTGCCTGACTCTGGGTTTGAGTCAATAAAAGTCAAGCAGCTTGAAATGTCATTCAATTCTTTCAAAATTTCCCCCTGTATAGTTTTATGAACTCTTGAACTGCCTAGCACTGAACAGTAAAGTTGTTATTCTGTTGCTATTGTACTATGGTAACTTATATATCCAGGAATCTAGGCCAAGATGTAGGGCATTTCTGTATTTACCAAGAGATCAGCACTGCAGTGATTGGTCCCTCGGGGGATTGATTTAGCAGACATAGTGAAGACCCACTAAATCGACCACTGATCACTCTAATCGATTCTGGTGCCCCTCTGGAATGAGAAACAAAAGGGAAGTTGATGGAGAGACCTCGCATCAGCTCAACCTAAGGTACATTGACTCCAGCTATGCTATTCACGTAGTTGGAGTTATGTACCTTAGGTGGGCATTGCACCGTAGTGTACACCTCCCCATAGTGACTGCCACACACACACCCCCAGAATTTATCATATTTCTAAGTTACCATAATTATACCCTATTCTAAGTACGGAATACACTATGATCTATGATGATATTGCTAAGTACAGATATATACTACCGTAGGTACCGATATACAGTAGCTCTGTGTGGTGCTTGAAGGCAAATATTGACTATTTAAGCAGCAGCCACATCTGGGCTATGATATACAGCAGTGCCCCCTCCCTCTTGTTGAATATGCCATTATACATCAATCAGTTGTGGAAAGGGTGAAGACCAATAAACTCCTATAAAATCAATGGATGTTCTGCCCTTTTGAACATCAGGCCATTGATAAAAGAAAATGAAGAGTCAGTCCCAGGAAATGGGCAGTGTGAGACAGACATCCATGTGCTTTACGTGTACCACATACAGTGCCTGGGTGTGAGCTCAGTCCAGGCATCAAGCAGGAAAGATCGGAGCACCTCCACTCTATTTCCATCTGTCTATCCACATCGTGTAATCACCGTGGCCTGCTCACCTGTACCTCATGTTCAGAAGACAAGAGCTTTTCAGCTAGTAAGTGCAGAACTCTGGTGGAGCTGGGGACTGGTTTTTGTCATATGCCATAGGCTGGCAGATTTGTATCAGCACCAGAATTTTGGGGACAAGTCTTTACAAAAATCATTGCAAATTTAAGTATCAGTGTACCCCACCTTTGGAGAAATTAATTACTGAAACTGATGGAAAGTGATATCTGTTCAGAGACATTACCTCAGTATCTCGTCAGCCTGATTTTTGTTGTTAAATAAGTGCTCACTGAAGGAAAAACTCCTAGCATGTAACCTAGTGTCCTTGTTTTCAAACCTTCATTGTTTTATATAGGATGTGGCTGTGTATTTTATGGCTGCTGCTGTTTCCTACCCAAAACCTATCCAATACAGATGTTCACTACAGTGGTCTTATAAAATGCTTTGCCTATTAAAATCGCCAAGTTGTCAAAGTCAGTTTTTTAACCTGTTTTCCCAATGATTTTTATATATGTGTACACACACCCAGAGACACACAGCCCTCCATACTTTGCTGATTTTGGACTTTCATACTGTAGAACTTTTTGTGCACATGATGATCCTGTTCAGTTTTTTTTCTCTCTTATCTTTTCTTCTACAGGTAGTTACAGCTTAATATTTTTGTATTCAGTTAGAAAGAAAGGTGAGAGAGAGAGATGGAGAGAGTTGTGAAATAAAAAAATGTGACAAATAGAATTACAGCACAAAATGATGTAATACTCTCGCTTGGTATTAATAGTTTTTTTCCAAATGCTTAACGACTATGCCATAACATAAAAAAATGGAGTGGGAGTGGCCTGTTAGCTGGTTTAGACAGACTGTTAGTCAATTTATTTTATTGTTTCATTGTTCCAGTGTCTCTAATGTGTTCATTATCTGACTAATGAAGGGTAACAGCCTGTCTTTAACAAACATCTACTGAAAGAAACATGAAGGGATGTGCATTTAAGAGCACACAATTGAGTATTCAAGGATGTTTCAGCAGAATGGGACACTGCTTACCTTCCCACACAGTGGGGACAAGTTCCTGGCATAGAGATGATTAAATGAGCCAGAGGAGAGACAGGTCAGACCACACCCATTGCAGCAGAACTACAAAGAAATGTAATTATTTGTGTGAATAGCATAAAAAAAAGAAAGTCATTCTGTGCCCAGCTGACAACTCTGACTGTCGCCTACTTTTTTACAGCATACATGAGACAATGCCCACACTGTCCAGAAAGAAAAAGGCTCATTGTTTATAAAAACACTCTAATCCTGTTTACAGCCCTCACTGTCCAATGCTTAGAATCTATCTGCAAAATGTAAAAAAGCAAATCACAAGAAACCTGTGGAAGTAATATCTAACAGGACCTGATCCACAGTCCAGTAGAAATCTTTTCTTTGATTTCAATGGCCTTAGCCCCACATGGGAGGAAAACACCATCTTCTCATGGACGTTTCACAAACCAAACCCAAGTCTCACTTCATACAATTGCTGCAAATTATTCACTTAGCTCTAGCACTTGGGAATATATAGCATCACCAAGGACTTGTGCTGGTGTTAAAAACCATCCTTGCTAGCAGCATGCTTTGGTGATATACTTACAAGAGTTCAGCACTTCTGAATGCCACTGTTAACATTAAATTATGCTCTGCATAGATATTTCATGTGGTTTTGATTATTGTTATTCAAAGAGCTTTTTAAGTTAGGCCAGCTGAGGTTTCAGACTCATTGCTTCTCTTTCTTTGGCTGGTGAGGAAGTGGAAATGTGAATAATCAAGTGACAGAACATTAATATGCTGTGACCAAATAGTTCATCCTTACACATGGCCTAGGTATAATCAAGAAAACATGGAAACTACAGTATTATTATCTACTCACATTTCAAAGTCTAATTAATAACAGTTACCTTTCAACAGAACAAAATTAGGAATTTTAGTAGCTTCTGCATACTGTCATATTTTTACAATACGATATTTTGTCTACTGTGTCCATTAGGTAGCATGTATTTTGTGGACTTCGCACAACACAATTGGATAGATAGGTTTAGCATGCATAAATGATCAATGATGCCTCCAACTAGTCATTTGAATGCCCAATTTCTGCAGCTACCTGTGCATTCACGGAACACCACTAATGTCCTTAAAAACATGAACATTGTGTTTTGCAAATTTGTGACTATGTGGCTTACATAAGGGAAGAATGAAGGATATTTTACCAGGATCAAAGGGCAGTTACTGCCTACTGACTTTCAAGGAGACTTGGATTGCTAACTGTCGGTTGCACCTGTGAACATCTTCACCTTTAATGCACCTCATTCATATAGAATTTCCTTATTCAGCCAAAAAAGTTATTGGGGAAGAATAGGTTCTTTCTCTGACTTGGGAAGACATCCCCATGTCTCAGATTTCTCAGCCACAAAAGAGGACTAACAGTAATTACCTGCAAACGGCGGCACAAATGGTTAAAGTGACTTGCCCAAGGTCACGGAGTAGCCCAGTGTCAGAGCCAAACATGGAATCCAGGTCTCCTAAGTTCAAGTCATGTTCTCTTACCATTAGATCACTTTGTCTAAATAAGAAATGCCATGCCATGCCAGAGACCATAAAATAGATTTTAAAAATTAAATGGAGCATATTTAAATGAGTGATAGATATCATACTTGTTCTGATTCTCCATGATCTATACTGAAATTTGGAATAGAAATGGCAAAAGTATTCTATGACAAGCAAATTAAAATAAATTTGCATAAATAGTACCATTTTTAGAAGGGCCAGATGACCATATGTGGATTAAAATCATATGTGGTACTAGTAAGAACTGCTTTGAAAAAATCTAATCTTTTATTACAACACAAAGGAAACTGATGCTAAAAATAATGGCACACTTTTCACATTATAAATAAATGAAGAGCTGGGTTGTGGCACAATTTGCATTCTGTAAGCTCTTTAAACTAAAAGAGATAAAGGAGGGGCAAGGCAGAATGGGGTGGGGGGGCAAAATCAAATCAATATCTTAGATGGCTGTATACAAATGCAAGAAGTATGGGAAATAAGTAGGAAGAACTTGAAGTGCTAGGCTGGGTGAGGGGTCCAGCAGCAGGGGGTCCAGAAATAACCCCCGCTGGTCCAGCAAAATCTCTCATCTGGGACCGATCAGGTCCAGAGGGTGCCGGACTAGGGAGGTCCAATCTGTAATTCTTAATATTATTGTGACTCATGTGTACAGCATAACACTGTCATGGCTCCTTCCCCACTCTGGCATGATAAATGCAGAAGTGGGAGCCAGCAAAAGTACCCCACAACCTTATCTACCAGGCTTTGGTATAAAACTTCCCCCCAAAATCTTAACAACCTAGATTTTGGGAATAAAACGCCACTGCCACCACCCAAATATTAATAAAACAACCAGGGAGAGACTACTTGAGAAATCTTACCCCTAAAGTACAAACCAGGACACAAAAATTAACCACTACCAGGTTAATAAAAAGAAAAGAGAAAGAACTTTTACTATCATCCCAATATTCCTGTTGCATGCATAATGGCTAGATGGAACAGTAACAAAATAATACACTCACGGAGGAGAAATTTACCATAGGCCAGGAATTTAGTTACAAAGGAGAGCAAAACCCATTTTTAAATGCACAGACCATATCCCATTTCCCAAACCATAAAACAATAAAACCTAACGGATTTATCTAAACTTTATCCTACTTACAGACTGTGAAGAGTATTTTCTTAGAAGGAAACATCCTGTCCCCTTCAATAGTTGGAGAGAAACTACCCAGAGACAAAGGAGGGAAAAATCCAAAAATTCCTTTGTCCCAGTTTGAAATTCCTACCTGCATTCCTATTGGCTGAATCTACCTGGTTAAGTAAGGGACCTAATTAACCTCTTAGTTCCCAGGCTGCTGGCTAACCCTCATGATCATGACAAACATACTAATTTTTTTCTAGATAGAACTCTTGCAAAGGTACCAGCACATCTTTGAAGGCAGCTTTTTACTAGCTATGGATCACTCCTAGGGAAATTTTGATCCTTTGTCCTGGAGCTTCGTATGATCTGTGAGAGACCCTGGGCCCAAGTCATCAAGCGCTTTTGAAGCAAAGACATGCTGACAACTACACTCCTCTGACACAAAGGAGTTCTCTACAATAAGGTAAAACTCATCCTTATAGCACATTGTTTACTGCTCTAATGGAAGACGATATCAGATATTATGGTGATAAGTGTAGTATAAAAACCTGACTAGACTAAGCTTCTTGATTAGTAAGGGCAATATGTAGGTGCCCATGTGATGGGTGCATACAGACAGGGCTGAGGCCAGACTTTGCTGTGCCCTGAGAAGACTGGCTCGGGGCCCCTGCAAGTGGTGGCGCCTTGGGCAGAAAGAGGCAGGACTTGTAGATGCATTCTCATATAAATAGCACTTATAATACTGTGAGCAAGCCCTGAGACAAATGATATGCTTAAAGTTAAGCACCTACCCAGGCATTTGCAGAACTGGAGCTTGTGTTTGTTCTGTGGATGAGGAGAGAATTTCAGATGGGAGGACTACCAATCTGACATCTTCATCTAGCACTAAATTCTCTTATTAAAGAGCAAAAAGAAATTGCTGCCTTTGCTTAGGTATTGTGCATTGTCCCATAGGAACAGCATGGGAAAGAGAAGCCTTTGGGTAGAGCTGATTGATGTATTACATTGCTTGTGCACTAAATACTATATCTGCAATTATATAAAGAGGAAGGATATTTTTAGTAATTGTTGGTTATTAAAGCCACTGAAAAATAGTATGTTTCTCTAGGTACAACTTATTCTGTTTGTGGGTTTGGACACCATGCCAATATTTCAATAATATATACATTATGAACTGCTATAGCTGGCAAGGTCTAGCCAAGTCATCTGTTCCAGGGGAGGATTTTGTTGCTCACTCAAAATGAATAGATTCTGAAGTGGCATCCAGCATGGAAAATGAAGGAAGGTCAGGGGTAGGATAATATTTATGGAAGATAGAGCTTTTTTTAGTATGGCTTCAGGGTTTACTCTCCCCAAAAAGACCCATTTGTATGCGTTGGAATGTTGAGAATTCAGTAGGTAACACAGTGTGACTAAAGCACACATTTAAGCCTCCTGGTGTTCAAAAAAGGGTGAAGTTTTTCATTATAAGCTGTTCTAATGCAGAATATTTTGCCTAAAATAAGTAACATGCAAAGGGGTGTTCCAGCCCATCTGAGACCAATACTGGCTCTAAAACATGACACACTTTTGGCAGTAAAGACTACGCCTCTCATACTTGCTCACGTCTCTTTGGAACAGGGGTGCTATAATCCTAGCTATTAATCATGGGTTCGGAAAATTGAATGTTGAGAATTGGGTGAGGTTGACTGGCAAGGGGATACAGAGGATGGATGCCTGTGGGAAAGAATGTTTTGTATTAAATGTGCCACAAAGATATGTAGGGTTAAAGAATCCTCATCTGTAGCACATGCACAAATAAATAACGAAGACTAAAGTATTGGATGGCTTTTGGGAAAAGACAAGAGTTTATGTGTCTAACAGAGCCAGGAAAACTGTGCACAGGGAATGTGGGACCCTCAGAGCATCCCAATGCTAGAGGGAAAGGAGCTTACTGATATTGGATAAGTGAATTGGGCTATAGTGAACAGATCAGGCCAGCTGAAATTCACTATGTCATAATCTGTATCTAATAGGTGTGGAGAAAGGCATCATGGGAAAATCAATAACAACAGTGATTGCTAATGTCCTTGCAAGGTGGATGTATGGTAAATGCCCAAAGGACTGTACAAATGTGAAGGAAACACTGAACATGTGTTTGAACCAAAGAAGTCTGGGCAAGTGGGTAAACAGGTTTTTCTCCAGACAAATGAAATCCTGATACCTCCATATAGATGCACTTGCTGACAGTTGGCAATTCTATGCAAATGACCATGCATTGGCATATTGGAGGCTGAAAAGACAGATCCATGTGTATAGTAGAAAGCACTTGTGGGCTGGCAACCAGCATGAACTATTCTCCATCAGACTCCCTGATACTTTTCTTCACTGCAGGGCCCCTGGACTTTGGGAA